AGCTCCCTATGGGGCCATGAAACACGTGCGGGGTGTGCCGACATGGGTGGCGGAAACGCATGTGAGGGCCGCCACTGGGGCCTCCAGTGGAGCTCCCTATGGGGCCTCGAAGCATGCTGGGGGGGTGCCTGGATGGGTGGCGGAGACGCATGTAAGTGCCGCCACTGGGGCCTTCGGTGGAGCTCCCTATGGGGCCACCAAGCGTGTGAGGGGTGTACCGGGATGTGTGGCGGGGACGCATGTGAGCGCCGCCACTGGGGCCCTCGGTGCAGCTCCCTATGGGGCCACGAAACCTGTGAGGGGTGTGCCGAATTGGGTGCGGGTGACGCATGCGGGCGGTACCATTGGGGCCTCGGGGGAGCTCCCTATGGGGCCACGAAACCTGTGAGGGGCGTGCTGGGATGGGTGGTGGGGACGCATGTGCGCGCGGCCATTGGGGCCTTCGGTGGAGCTCCCTACGGGGCCACGAAACGTGTGAGGGGTGTGCCGACTTGGGTGGGTGTGGGTGACGCATGTGGCCGCCGCCACTGGGGCCTTCGGTGGAGCTCCCTATGGGGCCACGAAACGTGTGAGGGGTGTGCCGAATTGGGTGTGCGGGGCGCATGCGGGCGGCGGCATTGGGGCCTTCGGTGGAGCTCCCTATGGGGCCACGAAGCGTGAGGGGTGCGCCGAATTGGGTGTGCGGGATGCATGCGGGCGGCGGCACTGGGGCCTTCAGTGGAGCTCCCTATGGGGCCACGAAACGTGTGAGGGGTGTTCCCAACTGGGTGTGCGGGGCGCATGCGGGCGGCGGCATTGGGGCCTTCGGTGGAGCTCCCTATTGGGCCACGAAACGTGTGAGGGGTGTGCCGAATTGGGTGTGCGGGATGCTTGCGGGCGGCGGCACTGGGGCCCTCGGTGGAGCTCCCTATGGGGCCACGAAACCTGTGAGGGGTGTGCCGAATTGGGTGTGGGTGACGCATGCGGGCGGCGGCACTGGGGCCTTCGGTGGAGCGCCCTATGGGTCCACGAAACGTGTGTGGGGCGTGCCGAAGCTGATGCCGAAGCTGATGGCGATGATGGTGACGATGACGATGACGATGATGATGACGATGACGATGACGCTGACGATGACGATGATGCTGATGATGCAGATGATGATGACGGGAGGAGGGAGGGGGGAGGAGGGGGAGGAGGAGGGGGAGGAGGAGAGGAGGAGTGACGCGGGGCGCTGTCTCTTCAAAACGAGGACCCACCATCACAGGATGGTTGGGGAAACATCAGCATGAGCATCCGCTTTCGGAGGTCCTCGCCCGCCAGGGGCGGAGCTGGAGGCGCCGCCGGGGGCGCTCCAGCGCCGATCCAACGAATCCGCGCGGACCTCCCAACGCCTCTTTTTTATGTATGCAGTGTTGGTTCTTCCTTTCGCATCCCACCCCCGACACGGGCGGAGTGCACAGGGCAAGGGGACGGCCAGCAGGGAGAGGGGGAATGAGGAGCGAGGGCGAGGCGAGAACGGAGACGGAGGGGAAGCGCAGATCAGTGCGTTGGCTGCCTATTACGCCCGCCGTCTTTGGTGCCTTGGGGCCTGCCACTCGACAGCAGTACCCGACGACTCTTGTCCCCTTCGGTTCATCAGGCTGCTTCTGTTGGAATTGCCCCTCTCCTGACATCCGCCGATGTGTTTTTTATCTGTCCGCGGCCCCGGGGTCCCTGCCGATTCCCCGGGGGCAGTTCTTCGCCCCAGCTGCATTCTTGATGGCCCCGGGTCCCGATGACGGGCTCCAGTGGCCGAGGCGGGGGAAAACGCGCCCGCATTGATCGGGGGCGGACAGAACCCCCAACAGTGACACGTCGATTAGTGAATCGGCCGTTTTCGGTTCTCGGGAGGGCGCCGCGGCCGCTATTTTCCAGGCTTGCGCCCGCCAGGTTTGGGCCTCAGGTCGATTTCACTAAACCACGTTTTACTAAAGGGAGGTCTGTCCATCCCCGAATTGAGGAATTCAGGCCCTCCCTCGGTTCCTGGGCGATCCTGTCCCCTCGAGCTGCATCGGGCAGCTCGGAGGTGCGCACCCCTCTGGCCACGGGGCGGAGAAGCGCACTCTCCCCCAGCGGACGCGCCCAGGTCGGGCAGGCGGACGCCATCGCCGCGCTCGCCGACGACGAGGACTTTTGGCCCCGGGCGTCTCCGCTGCCACTCCTGTCTCCTCCTGCTGCCTCCTCCTGTCTTCTCCTCCTCCTCCTCCTCCTCCTCCTCCTCCTCCTCCTCCTCCTCCTCCCCCTCCTCCTCCTCCTCCTCCTCCTCCTCCTCCTCCTCCTCCTCCTCCTCCTCCTCTTACTCCTCTTACCCTCTTTTCCTCCTTCTCCTTCTCTTCCTGCTTCTCCTCCTCCTCCTCCTCCTCCTCCTTCCCCTCGTCCTCCTCCTTCCCCTCGTCCTCCTCCTCCTCCTCCTTCATTCGGCGTGAGTTCGATAGGAAGACCCTGGCTGCCAACTCCAGTGCCTGGAACCTCCCTGTTCTCT